TGGAGCCCCCTACGTGGACTCTCTTACGTGGACCCTGCTTATGTGGAGGCCTTGTCTGGCCCTATGTGGAGGCCTTGGCCAGCTTTATGTGGCTTTATGTGGAGCCCTTGGCTTGCCACATGTGGAAGCCTTGGCCGCCCGTGGAGGCCTTTTCACTGGCACGTGAGGAGCCAAGGCCCCCACATAAGGCCCGGCAATCCTGCTGTTTTTTATTGTTGTGAATGATGAAGGAACTGCACATTTAAATATGCGGAGCTGCCCGTCGCCCCCAAACATACGGACAGAATAGGAATTATACACTACCTCCGGGAGGATCAACCCTGGGCCGCCCTCCATATATTTTAATGGCGTAACCGTATGCAGAACATATCAAAATATTCAAAAATTGTAGACACTCACAAGAAACATCGGCATACTTTACGACCTAATGCCCCAAACACTCACAGAAACGGTATGCATATATACAATAGCATACTGTGTGCTTCAAACATTTTTTCAGTATACATTTCATGGCACATCAGTACTTTATATGTTCATATGATTTCATATACTTTCTTTCTACAAGCCCCGAGCCCATCCATGTTTCTTCACCTCGCCGGGTTGGCCACGCCTGCGACCATCTGACGGAGGGTGCGCCGGAAGACCGCCCAGGAGCGCCTTATTTCAGGGGCAGGGGCTGGAGGAGAGGTGAGATGTGGTGCTTCAGAGCTCAGTGAATGACTTCAGCAATCTGCCAAGGCAAGGAGCCATGCCCTCCACCCCATACACTGGGCGGGAGATTGGCACCTGTAAGAATAACACAAACACCTTCAACCAATCTCAGCCATATTGTCATATATCTGTCTGAACGAAAGAAACCGAGGGACAGCCCAGGACAGAGATGGTCAACCTTGAACTTTTCACACGGCTCACAAAAGGTTGAGACACTGGTGGAGGAAAAACATGCTCAAGTGCATTCTTGTCACATAGGGTTTATGGTTGACATGACTGATCCACTCAGGATTTTTGAGTCATGACTTCGCTCAATTAATTAAGGAGCCTCAAGGACAAAAATGCACGCGGCAAGGTGGAAGCTGCATGGTGAAACATCAAGTAAAACAACATGAGAGCACACTCACGTGCAAGCGAGGGTGCAAGCAACCGACGCGCGCACCCTCGCTTAGGCAGGCCTTGCCGTGAGAAGCACGAATGGAGTGAGACCACTCCAGCACTTGCTCCGGAACCTCCTCCGGAACCTCCTCTGGAACTTGCTCCGGAACCTGCTCCGGAACCTGCTGCTCCGTGGCCTGCTCCGAAGTCCTTACTATGGCTGGTCAGACCCCCTCGGCTTCGCGTTCGCTCGGGGAAGAAGGGAGGGATCGCTGGACCGCTGGACCCTGCTGAAGTCCATCTGAATCACCACCTTCTGCACATCAGGCAGGGCAGCTACGTTTCCTTGAATGACATGACCTCCGGCTCAGAACGAACTCCGGCGAAAGGCGATTAAGTGGTGCCGAGCAGTTCTAGGCCTTCGCCAACTCCCGTCTTCACAACAACGAGTTGAATTGAACCTTGGTCTCACTCTTGCTCACCCCAGTGCCAAGCTCCAAGACTCACTCATATCAAACCCTCTCTCATGAGCCAACTCCTAAGGATGTGCTGGTCGAACACCTGAAATGAAGACATTCCCCTTCGTCACCGGAATTCCCCACCTGGCATTCACCAACATCTCATACCACGCGCGCGCGCCAGTCGCAGTCGTGGATTCGTTCCCTTCGCGGAAACGGAGCGATCCGAGGAACAAGTTCTGAAGCCCCTCGGTGTAGGCGTGGCGCACGGTATCGGCCGCCAACCTTAGACGGTATCGGCTGGAGAGGAGGATGAGCGACCCCCGGCACCCGCCCAGCCCAACAGAAATCAACCCCGTGGCGAAGCGACTCAGCTAGGGATCCCAAGTACCTTCTCAAAAGGTCACCCACCTGGCGCCTACATAACGCCTCCAATCACCCAACCTGAGGTTCGGTACGACTGGATGTCCGACTGGATCCCGACAGGGCCCCGACGTCGCGGAGGGTCTCAATGCCTGGGTCTCCCAACGACCGCGAGGCCCAAGTCAATGCCTTCTTCCTGCGTGCCTGGCCGGTCCCGAGGTCCGTGCAGTGCACCGGTGCACACTGAAATACAGTAGAAGAAAATGTGTATAACAGTTATCACCCTGCTGTATTATACACAAGTGATATTATACCTCCAAAAGTATTATACCTGTGTATTATACCTCCAAAATGTGTGATATAACAAGCTTATCACCCTCCAAAAGTATATGTAATTTATAAAAGTTATCTGCAGAAGCTTTCAAGGTTATCTGTCAATGAAGTGGTTCACCCTCCATGTTTCGGACCGGTTTCCAGGTCACTGGAGGACACATGCAGCCATCAGTCTAATCCTGTACAGGTCCGTGTCTGCCAAACATCAGCTGAAGAGAAACTTGGGAATACGGAATGATCCGAACAAGTTCTCTCGCGTATTAGTATACCTGAAGAACCTGGAGTATCAAAAATTTTAAAAGTACCTTGGAACATTGGCACCAGTGACCCGTTTTAATTTAATAGGGCCATGTCCCATGCTCTAGGAGTACCAACAGGGTCGAGTCCAGGTATATAGATCGAGGCCGTGACCTGGCAACGTTCCATCGAGTGACTCGGTGTCTTCGCACCTGCACGAGCCATGCTCGAAAAATCTCTCCTGCACGGGAAGAAGCAACCTCAGCCCACGGCCCGCCTGGCCAACAGCCAAAAGGTGCTCCACTCGCAGGCTTCAGTGAGCATTATATATACTATAATGGTCCCAGTCCTATTATGTCCCATTCATGCAAGGGTCCAGCTTCGTTTCTTGAAGTCACGCCATATTGTAGGCCACCCCTGGTGTTGAAGTCACAGACCAAAAGAAACACCTGGGAAGTCCAAAGTTCACCCCCTTCCCTCGCGGGGACGCCGAAGTGGGCCACTACGTCGGGTTGATCAGGGACATACCGACCAAAAGACCAGCTCGACCATACAGATTGACTTTAGAGGACTGTAGTGTGATGGTTTTCAGCAAGTTGCAGCTAGTGCCTTCTTGAAGGACACTATTATATAAGTAGATCGATATAAGTAGCTCTAGTATGCTCTAGTTTCCGTCTAGAATCTAAAAATAAAATAAACAACTCACGACAAATCTTTGGACATCTTTGGACACCCCCAGAAATCCACAAAACGCCCCACTGACCTGCCAATGGTCGCATGTGTCGTTCCAAGATCTCTGCCAAGCGTCACTAAAGGCTCGGCCTTGGAAGTGTCCGCAGGTTCAGGTGAGATTACACCCCCCCAGCATCCTTGCCGATGAACTATGGCCCAAGGATGATAACCTTTGGCAGAAGGACGGAAGTTGTCCCAAAGCCAACGTTTCAGGGCTCCAGTTATGGGTCACCTCAACTTGTCTGCTCATAGGTTTGGTACTTACCTCACCTGGGGAAGCCCAAGAGACGCCACACCCTGACTCGCCATTGTACACAGCGTTGTGGGTCGAAGAATCCCTATTGGATCATTCAGTATGACGCTTGGCTCGGATGCTCAATCAAAGAAGCATCTGGGCCTGTGATCAGTCTGTGAGCAAGTGCGTTATTTTTTCAGCAGCCACTTCCCGCTTCTCTAGCTTCTAACCTGGACAACTTCTGATCTTCCAAGAAATCTTCTCTCGGTGACTGGTGGGGAATCACCATCCCATCACCATCCCATCAAAGGATATATACCCCCTAGGGCTCCAAGTACCTTCTTAGAAGGTGTTTGGGGAGGGTTTCGAGGGTTTAGAGGGTCCAAATACCTTCTGAGGAGGTACTTGGAGCCCTGGGGACCATCAAATACCCACCATCCCACCCGATTCGCTCCCCACATCGCCAGGTGGCAATACATCGCCCAAGCTCCGAGCCGCTGCGTCTTCCGCCCGGCGCGGACCGCGCGGTTCAGCTGCGTGGAGCGGGCCTGGCGAGAGAGCGGGGCAGCTTTAAAGCGACGTGATACTAAGACATACTTTATAAGACTAAAGCAACTTAGATATATATAGGCTTCGCTGCTTCGCTCCATGTTTCCCAAAGTAGCGGTTATCAATGAACATCAGCATATGATTCTGAAGAAAACATATGCTATACGCATCTATATGCTATATATATATAGTGAGTTTTGAGTTGTAGGCTCAGGTGCTCAAATGATCCGGTCCCAGTCTGAAACCTTGCATGGGTAGCAGGGTAGCATGGTCAGAAACACTCGCACTGCTGAACTGCGGGTGTGCTAACACCCGCGCTTCCAAACCGAGCACTTCCTTGCGACAGTTTAGCGTTCCTGAGGGTATTGCAGGGTAGCAGTGCCAAAATCCTTCGCGGCCACACGCGAAATGGTGCACCAATGCCCAACATCCACCCCTCGTTCCTTCAAAAGGCTTTTCCACTGGCCCCCTAAGTTGATCTAAGTTGCGCTGAAAGAAAACGGTTAACCATTCCGCCTTGTGGATTTTGGTGGGGAAGCAAATCTCCCAAAGGTTATCCACTGATTGGGTTATGCTCATGATCGGTAAGATTTTTGAGGTGAGAATCTCCCAAGCCTCCATCACCCAAACAGGTCGCATGATGAATCGATTTGGATGAAAAACCTCCGATGGCACGTGCAGATCAACCCTGTTGCTTCCCTCCACGACTAACTTTCCGGCCTCGAATCCAAGTCTTCTTATTCCAGGAGCTACGTGGACATAAACATGAAACATGTGCATCGACATATTGGACTGTAACCATCTATAAGAGTACACCAGTGACCCCAAAGGACGTATCATCTTCAAGGATCCAAGCTGAGACTATATACAAACGCACTTCCACTGATGTGCTTTTTGGAAACAATAGGGGGGGCCGATTTGATACCATTGCTGGTTCATGTCGGGGGTCTCTCCTCTGATCAACGGGCCCGGGCACTCCGCACTCCAGCGAACTCGGCAGGCCTGGATGACTTTGGCGCGCTTCACCCAAGTCGCATAGGCCCGGAAGACCTTCCCCGTCAAACGTCCATGCACGCGCTTCCGCTGGAGCGAGCCAGCACGGCTGGCCTCAAGCCGCGTGGACGGAACACGAGAGGTCTCCCCAAGACCACTTGGAGTGTGCGCGTGTGATTTAATAGAGAACTCCGGGGTCTCGCATCGAGAAATAGAATGAAATAGATACACGGTACACGTTTCTTTTTCAGCCGCGGCGCGCCCCATTTCCAAGACACAGTCACTCTCATAATATGAGGTTGTTCGATCCAAATGGGGTGTATGAATCAAGAGTCTACGCTGAAAAGGTCACATCAAAGTATCAAATAAGAAAGGTCGACAACACACACACACACACACACGAGAGAGAGAGAGAGATTCAGTACAAAACATGGGACTATGGGTTCGTCACTGATTGTACATGGATTTCATTTGTTTGCTGGAGCACTGTTGGCTTTGAGATCATTCTATACCAGCTAATAGTTTGTGTTTCTCAGCTGACTCTCAGCCCAAGTTGTTCAACCATCTTCACGTCAACTTACGGGGCCGTGAAGGATCAGCAGAACTGCACCTTCGACCAGGCTATGCGGCTTGGCACCACCAGGAAATTCGTGGCAAAACACCGAAGTAAAGACACAAACTCTGGTTCAGTTTTGGACAATGGTAAGCCAACTCCCAGGGTTTGTCATACTTGGAAGGTACTTCCCAGGTACTTCATGTTTTGTTTAATACTTCGATTTGAGCGATCAACAGTCAGTTGCTTCACTCCTGTCTTCCAGGCGCGAAGTCGACTCATGTCTCTACACCTCCACGCCTTGCTGTAGCGCACGGCCTGGAAGAAGCTGCGCAGGTGCCGGCGCGTGCTGGCTGCCTGGTGAGCGCTCGGATCTCGGGTTGCGATGTTGGTGGCGATCCTGGGACTTGTACCGACTGAAGACTGAAGCTCTCAGCTCAACAGTTTGGAGAAGGAAGGGACAGGAGTCAAACACACACTGTCCCTCTCTCTCTCTCACAATCTTGCTACACATCAAAATGCAAAAGCCTGCAGGGAGTTTCAGGCATGTTCACTTTCACATAGCTATTCACTTTCACATAGCTATCACTATCACCATCACTCACTCACTATCCTTTTACTATCACTATCACTCACTTTCACTCACTATCCTTTCAAACGGCTCCTCCGGTTGTACATCGCTGGCGCTGTCGAAACCAAACACATCGGTGACACGTTCGTCACTCCGCGCTGAAGCCGGGCGAGTCGGTCGGAGATCCGCCCGACTCTCCACCTATCCAGCACCCGACTCGTCCACTTGCTTCCTGGTGACAGGTGCCCTACCTAACAAACCACCTGTTGGAAGGTCCTGGTACCTACCTACCTACCTACAGTTCCACCACTGTCTGGGCCAGTCACGGGCAGCAAATGGCAAGCTTGCCAATAGCTTACTCAGTATCAGTATAGGATTGAAACATTAGGGGCAACAAGAGGTTGACTACAAGGTGTGGCTTTCCGAACGTCTTACGGGAGTAGAAGCTGTTCAGTAATCCCTGTGCAAAAACTTCCTTCAGCTTAGGACACATGTGCACAGTCTTTTTGCTTCTGCTCATCCATCCCTGTGAGATTCACCATGGCCCTGATTGAAAAAACACAACAAATCCAGAAAAGCCATGGGCCAAATTGGCAATGCGCTGCATAGACGGACCTGTCCGTGAAGGATGGTATCTCTGTCCACTGTCCACCGACCTTTGACTGATTATCCAGTGTTGGAAAAGCAAATGAAAAACAGCAACAAAACCTAGCAACCACTCATGTTTTAATCCTTGTATATAATTCCATTGGCTTGGCTTTGCATGTGAAATGGGCAGGGGTAGCAAAATGTCGATTCCTATTGATTACAATGAGCCGAGGGCGACAAACGAGTGGGCCAACTTATAAAGCAAGACGTCCGGCCAGTGGTGCATTCGTTGCTGTATACCATTGTATACCCATACATACCCGGACTTCTTTTCACCGCTATGTTGATGCAAAACCGTGAAGCAAGTGACATTGAACATATTCTAAGCACCAACCTTTTCTCGTCACATTGTTTCCATGGTGTTTTCCTTGGGCCTTGGACCATCTCGGTCCTGTGCCTTGAAAGCATGTTGAAGCCCGTTGAAGCCCTCCACAGACCCCGGGGCACCGCGGCCTTGACCGCCTCGTCGTTCCAGGCCATGAACACGGCATTGATCCAACTTCGGCGTCGGAACAGCCTCGGAGGTCGAGTGACGGCCGTCGGAACGGATGAGAACAGCTGGGATGCTTAGAGGCCTCAAGCTGGGCACATGCTCTTGGAAAGAAATGGAAAGAAAATGGGAATGGAGAGGGACGGATGTTCTTTTTGCATTTCATCTGGGCTGTTGATGCTTAAGAACACCAAACACACTTGGGCAGCCTAGGAAGGTGTTGTCTGCCAGTGTGTAGTTGCCGTGAACTATGTGTTTAACCCTTCTGCCACTGGTGTATGTCACTTCTATTTGGTTTCTAGGGCCAAGGGCGGAGGTAATGGTTGGGGGCATTTGCATTTTACACTGTCAGAGGTGAAGATATTGGATTTGCTAAAGACAAGGTCTGCGAAAAGCAAAACAGCGCAGAACATGCACTATGAGACTCCAGGGGATGTTCACTTGATGCCTCATAGCAGCTATGTAGCAAGCTTGCCAGAAGGAGTAGAGCTTCTGGGTTGGGCTTCCGTGCTTTCTCCAGAGATGTGCCCGGTAGGAATTTCTGGAGAGAGTTGCTTTGTGCGGGATGTTTATATAGTTCTGTGATGTTCTGTGATGTTGCGGGAAAATTCAGACAGGGACGGACAGGTGATCCCACAACACGGCGAAACAAGTCCTGTGCTACTTAAAGAGGTTTAGACATCACCATTCTTGTACAAAACTTGGGGTAGGAATCCGCCGCTTGCCATTCTGGGTGAATATTGAGGGGATGGAAGATGGCAAGTTGGCATAGCCTGTGTTTGATCATGTTTGATAGCTTGCGTTGCATGCCATTTCACCCAAGTTCCGCTAAGTAGTTGCCCCACTCGCACGGGACTCTCCACTGATGGCTGCCAACGGCGAGGGGCCACATGCCGGCCACCAAACGACGCAAGTGAAGCCTGGAGCAGACTGGCTGCTGAACAAGTTGCACAGAATCCAGCATCTGAGATGCCCGAACTGCCACTAATGACTGACCAATGGAAAAGGAATCGCAAGCATTGAAGAAACATAGTCTTGAGTTGGATTCAGGGGAAGTGTGTGTTCAAAAAACACACCCTGAGAGAGAGAGAGAGAGAGATACATATAAAAGGACCCCCAAATAGCCAAAGGACACAAGGAAGCTCATTTTTCTAGGACTTGTGCATGAATGGGAATAAAGGCCTATCTGTTATCTGTCCATCAATGTCCATCATTATTTCCAGCGCATAGTTTGAGGTACGTGAGCCTGTTGCTCAACATGTTGCAAAAGTGCATGATGACTGAAGACGCGACACGTGGCAGACCTCGAAATGGGAGTATATGATAGCATGTGGGCATCTCGTACCATAGCTGTGGAATGATGATAGTCAGGAGGGTGCTTACTTTGCCAAAATCGTTGCGAACATCAACAAATGCGTGCCGACTGCTAGTGGGAAAATGTGGGAAAGGTTTAGCCCCTGCAGTACAAGCTCCGCGGTGTCCCCTGGGGGTGTGACACAAACAAGCCGTATGCGGAAAATCGGTCTATGTCACCCAAGGCATGAATAATGAATCATGTAATCTCGACACCGCATTAATCAACGGCCACCCCCCAATTAGTAAACGGGTCGAGCTGGGATTGATTAATAGGGGGCGGTTACTTAATCCTGTGTCAACATTATGGTTCAAAATTGTCACCATCCCTAGGGCTCCAAGCTAAGTACCTCAGGTTCGGTATGACTATATAAGCCCTCCAAAAGCACCCGCCCGAGCTCCCAGTCCCACCGAACCCAAATTAAGGTACGACCGGTCGCCTCCACCGGTTCACCTCCGTTTCCAAGGTGGTTGGGGTGGGTGACAGGGGGTCTAATAACCTTAAGATATGGTTGGAGCTGGGGCGGGTATGGCTATATGGTGCCTCTCTTGCCATCCACGGAAGGCACGTTGGAGTCGTTGTAGGTTCGACTGTTGCAAGGTCTTCAGCACCTGTGACCTGGGCTCTGGGGACGAACTGCCGAACGAAGGTGGCGGCTCATCAAGAGCCGAGGGTCTTGTGCCACGAGACGCGAATTGGATCGATGAGCCTCCCAACATGGAAGTGGACCAGCGCCGATATATTGATGGAGGAGAATGGTCTTTCACGGGGTCATGTCATCCACTTCCATGTTGGAGGGAGGGTAGACCAGGGTAGACCTGTTTTTCGTGGTGAATAGGTGAGGCTGTTTACAAGTAAGAACTGGTCAGTGCCACCTGGCAGTGCCTCTGGTGAGTCCCCTAAGAGTCCCGCGAAAGATCGGAACTGAGAAGCTGGACACATGAAAGCCACATCACTTGAGGCTGCAAGGTTCACCAAAGCAAAGCCTTTAAACAATTTTAAACAAAAAGAATCCAGTACAACCAGCGGTTCCATCCTCTGAACCGAGGGCCGTGCGCAAAGCCAGCATGGAAGGTGGTGTGCTGCTTCCATCGGTCCAGAATCCTCGTGGAGCAGCGGCGCAGCCGCTATGCGCCGCTGCGCTCGCTCGCTGTCGGCTGGGAGACTGGTTCAGGTGCGGACCTGGTCCCTGTATAGGAAGGTATAGGAACCATGGGCACCCCAAGAAACCAGGTCGATATCTAGAAAGTTCTAGGTGGAGCGATTTGTAAGGCACACGCTGGCCAGCATAAGCTTTTTTACATGGAGCCAAGCTCAATCAGAGTCCCAGTTGGTCGATCCAGTACTGCCTCAAGCAGGTACCTGCTTGCAGCTCCACTCTAAAGGGCCAATCCCCGAGCCAAACAACACCAACTTCCCACACCACGGCGCACGCCTCGCTATTCCGTCCCCGTGCCTCTTGAGTTTTCCTCGACCAAGGATTTGCGAGGCGAAGAAGCTGCTGGATTCCATCTCAAAGACCTGGAATATGCATATGCAGTGTGTATCCCATTCCCTGTGAAACAGTGGATGATGCTTAGGTTGCAGGCCTTGGTCTACAATGATAATTGTTTGCCGACTGTTACAGGTAATGGGACAAACCCAATATGCAGTGTGTGAATATACCATTACAGCTGCATGCCTTTTGCGACCACTTCCATAACAGGATGGGGTACGACTCAATTAATGGCACAACTGTGCATTGAAAACTATAGAACTCATCCCATCTTATCTCCCAAACCGCTTGTCCATGACCTTCCGCTACAGCAGGGCACATCGATTTCTGTGTGCATCTTTGTCAGGATTTTGGGATCCTCCAATGCATCGGGGGAAAAACTGGATCTGACCAAATCGGCGACTGATCTGGGAGGTGTTGAACAAAAGGTACCGTGAAACAATTCAGTTCAATTCATGTCAAGTGACCCATTAGGCGATGCAAAGTAATGTCGACATAGGATTAATAAACCCCCCCTTCAAGGTCAACAAGGTTTGAGATAGGAGGTATTGGGAGACCACATCCCCCTAATACAGGTGATGACCTGATGGTGGATGATGTGACCTGGACCTGATGATGGATGGTTGATGGGAGAGCAAGCACGAACCATGAGAAGAGTTGGAAGCATGAGAGCTTATGCGTCTGCGTCTGAGAGGGACATGGGATATGGGCCTTCCAATATGCTTTCAGGCAAATGGCATGGGAAATGGATTGATCAGAATGCTATCTCTCAAGCGATGGCATGGGAACAGGGTGGATCAGAAGATCGGTTTCACCATTGGATCAGTTTCACTGAAAATTTAAATCATATAACAAAACATATTGAAAACCATGTTCATGTTTTTTGGTGGCACATGGGCGTGATTGATAGGGGTACTTTTGTCCCAAGGAAGATTTTGATTAGGGTGATGCTGCCAATGTGAAAGTTCAGATTTGTAATTTGTATATATATATATATATATGTTATTGTGGGCTCGAGCTGGGCTCGATGTTAATCCTAGGTGCACATTAGGATCTGTGGCCAAATTATGGATTCCAGGACCTCATCATCAAAACTGGACAAATTGAGTCTTAGACAGCAATGTGCTGTCCATATTTGACCCAAACAGAAAGACTTAGACAATCAATTAAAACCGTCCGTCGCTGCAAGTTGTGTTTTCAGATCAGGTGTTAAGCAATGGTTGCGACTGTACATGCCTGCAACTTGTCAGTCGTCTTCAAGAACAATGCATCACAACGTTAAGCGCAAAGTGCAAATGCTTGTTTCACGATCAGTATTTCTTCAGCTGTTCAGGGTCTCTACATGGCAGCCATGTGCAAGGGCAAAATGCCATAAGGTGACTGCTGGTTCAGGTGTTCTTCGTCCTTTGACTCTTAGCACATTCACAGCAAGGTGGGTCGTTTTTCAACTCTGTAGGCAAGCGGCAAGCGAAGACCTGCGAGCCCGCGAGGCAAGCGTCCGCACCGTGTCACCGCAGCCGCTCCCGTCCGTCCACGGTCGGCCTGTGCCCACAGATCGAAGTACCGTGCCCTCCGCCGTCGCGCCAAGGTCGCTTGGACGACCTCCTTGGAGTGGAGCGGGGGAGGTCGGGAGGTCAGCAGGTCGGGTTGAGCCAGGACATGTGGCTGAATTGTATATATTTTTTTGTATATGTTGGCACACATGTATATACATGTCTATAGTATTATTCCATGGAATTATATTATGTATATACTGTTGGGTGTATCCCATTCCCTGTGGCCCAGTGGATGATGGTGCAACTATATAATATATATATATACTGTGTACTCGTGGGTACGGGGATGGCATGTCAGCCATCCCCGTGTCCATTCTCTCAGGAAGGGTAATTGTTTTATAGGATGTGCATGTATATCTGTTGAACTGATTTGAAAACAAACCATCAGAAAACGTTCTTGACACAACGCTACATACAGAACCCATTTGACCTCGACTCAATCATGAAACACAACTCAATGTAATGTTTTAACTCCAAAGCAAGGGATCACTCAGGTTCTAGGCATGCAAATACATATATATATATATATAGTCAACACCCGATCCCGCTCGGGTTGGCGATCTCGATCTTCGATCATCGTGATGACAGTCCATGGACTTCCTTCTGAAGTAACGAAGCCCTTCTGCGCATATGAGGGTCCATGAGCATCTGAGATAGTCTTTTCCTCTGGCTTTTGACTTCTTTGGGGTTTCTCTTGCAAACCCATATCTGGTGGGCTCCCGAACCCCATTTGTTTTCCGAAGAACGTCGCAAGCCAGCCAGCGCTCCAGAGTGGTTTGAACATCCCAACAAGTCAAGTCCCAGCCCCAGCCCTGCTGCAAGGTGACACATGAGGAACTATTAGTATTTGTATCTTCGATCGTGTTCGGTCGTATATCTGTGCCGCAGCATAAAGGGCAACACAAAAAATGTTTACTCTACTGTGCTATACTGTGCTGCTATGGTCCTGTACTGCATGATTCCGATCGGTTTGCTTCTCTGGAATGCCCCTGTCGCGCGATCAATTCGAAGACATTCAAAGCAAGAAGAGCTGAGCAACCGCATGGAACTCACATCAGCAACACCCAGAAACATCTTCCGCTGAGAGTGGGTTCACCTGATGCCAAAAGCATACTTGTTGGAACCCACACCGCAACTCATCCTACAGCATAACCCATACACTCCATTGGACTGCCATATATGCCTACATTGACACCCCGAACCACCCCAACTGATCGGCATATATGGCAGTCCCATGGAGTCTATGGGTAATATAACCAACCAACCTGGTGGTTTCCATGCCTGTCTGGACTTTCTTTTCCCATTCGCATGACGGCAACCGCATCCCCCCAAATTCCAGGTGCGCCTGCGCCTTCCGGGTTTTCAGCCTTTTCACGCAGGAAGCTGCACAAACATCATGGGTGGTGGGTATTGATGACTCTGACCTCGGACTTGTGCAACGGACCTTGGTTTCCGACCTGGACCTTCCAACAAGTTTTCCAATAAGATCTGCTGTACTGGTGTACGGGCGGTCTGTTGGTGACGTCTTGAAAGGTGCTGGTACGGGGAACCCAAACCACGGTTTTTTGACCGTTCATGGTGGGTCTTCCCAAGCTACCGATGTTGCGGTTATTTTAGTATGGCTACCCGGTAGGGTTTCCCCACCGAAAAAGAACAGATTCAGATTCCTTTATAAGGGATCTCAACTGGGATCTCAACATTCCATGGTTTGTAGGGTGAGGTTTTGACCCACTGCCATATATGCCCCAAACATCTTGTACTGGTCATCGGGTCGGTTCACAATGCGGGTCTGGCTTTTGGCGTGTTGCAGATGCTGCAAACTCGAAACGTTGAGTGTGCAGAAGTTTCCTCAAAACATCTACTAGCCCCCCAAATGCATCAACATGCCAAATCCTTGCTGTCTTTTGGCATCTTTTGGCTCTGCTTCCGGTCCCCCGCAAAGCAAAACAACTCACAAGGAGGTCCCCCAGCGCAGCGGCGGTTTCCGCCCTCGCCCTGTGAAGCAACACCTCTATCCCCTGCGCAAAGAAGAAACACAAAGAAATCTTTGAGGCACCAACCAAGGCATCAAAGAGATGCATTTGATGCATCCCGGATTGGACACTGTCCAAGCTGTGATTCTCACCAGCAACCCATGGCCAAGCTGAAAAAATGGAGTCACTGAGAGTCCTTGCTCGGATCGCCTGGAACCGAGCTGCCTGCGTTGGCAGTTCATCCAGCCCTGTCGATCCGACCAACCCCGGAGCCCAGCGCAGCCCTCGTCCACCCGGCCCAGCCTCTTGCGGCTGCGCTGTGCCAGCACGCGGAAGCTGGTGGCCATCCACGACTGGCGGAATCATGTTGGAACAAATGCACGGAAAGTTGAGAGTTCCATTCAAGGGGAATCAGAAGTGGGACGTCACAAGGTGGGATCCTGATCCCGTTGATGCTTGATATTTCCACCCATCACACACCTGACTCAAGGTACAGCAAGTGCGTCTGCAATCACTTTTGCTCTGACGAATCTTTTGCTGCCAGCAATGCTGGTTTGCATGAGGGGAGGTCTTGTTTTTGAGCCTCCACCTCTCCCAAAATTAATAGAATTTAATTCTTAATTTTGGAGGACGGACACCGCCGTTTTGTTTTAATATTAAATGGCTAGGTTGGTGGGCGAAAATACATGAAATGTAATCTCTGTCATCATTTATTTGCGTGGCCGTCTACCTCCCATCAGCCAAAATATTTAGGAAGAAGAAACTCATCAACATATTTTGCCAAATTTATTTATTCATTGCCAAAAATATCGGAAATAGCAACTAAGGATTCTATATATAGGAGTTTTTCCACTCAAGCCTGGATTTGTTACATCTGATTGGGTAGTAGAAAGGTAAGATTGAACACATACTCCTTGAGCAATCCTTTCAACCCATGACTCAGACTAAGGATTATACTAGGTGAATAAGTGCTGAATATGGAGTGTTGCCGTTTGTGACAGTGGCAGAAGCATGTTTGCTCAAAGAATGCAGAGGACTGTGCAATTGACAACAAACAAGAAACAAAAACCATTTGCTACGGTATATATATATATATGAAATACAAACAACACCATGACGTTTCTTCAACAAAAAATGGTTTCTGGAATGGTGGCCGCTGCGAAAGAAGCATATGAGAAGTTTCTGCGTGCGGCAGAGCCAGTCCTGCGGTTTGGTACTGGGGAGCAGGCTTGGTGGCAAACATTTTTTTTTTAATACTCAATCCTCAGATTCAATGTTTGATGTTAATTGCATCAAGCAAACATGTTGGTTCAGATTGATTTCAGTGTATCTACTGTAAATCCTGCAGATTCACTATTTCCAAAGCGGCATGGCAACGCTATGTCAGATTTTTGAAGCAGAAACACGTGGCATCAAATCACTGAAGCCATCTACAAAAATGGGAGTTGGGCGTCCTGTCTACAGCATGCACCAGCTCTACATGTTCATGATGTTGAGCCTGGTTTATCGCAATAGGAACTTTTGCTGTAGGTATCCTACTTTGTGTGCAGTTGCTATAGCTATACTACCACTCCTGGCTATGACTCTCCTGTCTCTATCGCGCTTTTAAACCTCAGGGTGATGCATTTACGAAACATGCACAAGTTCCTGCCGGCTATGACTGCTGCGTTTCAGATTGTGAATGAATCTACATCAGTGATGTTGCCGCCTTCTCGTGAACAGTTGAGCAATGCGGTTGAAAACGGTCACCCCGCTCCAGGTGATGAGGATCAGTGGGCCAGTGGGTGGTAGGTATTTGTTTGGTTTTTAAAGAAGCATTTCCTGTATATCTAGTGGTTCCTAAAGTGAAATCAGTCTGAATAGATTGCCAGGATACAGGCGACGCGACCAGTGTTACGAAGATCTTTGGCCTAACCTCAGGGCCAACAGCAGCAACCTTCAGCAAAGCACGCTTCAAACTGGATGCGCTACTGATGCTTGCAAGACGCAAATTCTGGGAACGATGCAACTATTCTGGGCACTGGATTGCTTTAAGCTTCTTCACCTTATTAGATGCCTGCAATGTTTGTTTTCATGTTTCTGGAAATGGCACAACTATTCCTCGCAAAGGACTGCTTTATGTTTTTGTCAGTCATGTCTTTAGATAAGTTTGCAGATATTTTGTCATTTTGTCACTAAAACCTATAGGGCCATACTATAGGGCAAACAATGTGATTTCAATCTCAGTAGCATGGCATACTAGGTTACGACTCGTCTGAGAAAGGAAAGGACCTGTTCTTGATCCAAGAGTTTTCCTGTTCCGCAGAAGCAGCTGCTGCAAGATACATGGCTGACTTAAGATCCCAAAACTCATCTATAAAAGATGACATCAATGACAGCGACAGCGATGTTGATGCAGAATATGCTGATGCTGCGACTGAGAGTCTGGATGTGGTTTGTCGAGCTTTGCCTTTGCAGTGCTTGGGCAAGGGGTTCACCAGTGTTGATGCAAAATTGGATGCCCTATTGCACAGTTTTTTGCTGGAGGTTGGGCCAGACGGTCTGGAGTGCTACAACAAGCAAGTGATTTGCAATGTTAGTGATCAGGGTGTGGAGTTCAAGCTAGCCACAGCTCCAAGAATTGATGTCAAAGAATTGATTCAAGAATCAGAGCAAGCGCTGACATCGATGTTTGGGAAAAATCAAGGGTTAGCGCTCGAAAATGAACCTGGTTTCAGCCTTCAGTTGGCATTACCTGGCCAGGAAACTGTAGCTGTATCAAAGGACATTACACCCACAGCTCCTGATGAAGAATGCGATGGTGATGCTGGTACAATGCCAGCAGATAGGACAGCAAAGCTGTACCCCAATTCTTTTCAAACCGCAGACATGAAGCACATTGTTGACAACATATTGGGTGAGATATTGGACCTCATGAAATCTTTGTAACTTGGATGTTAAGTTCTTATTTCCTTTTGGTGGCAATGCAGTAGGATTTACAATCATATTGTGTTGAAATTTGCTATACTGCACAGCGCATTTGCATGCCAACCTCCGATTGAACTTGTCTTGATTTTTATAAGGTGGCCACCAACATTGGCTGGACTTCGAACAATGGAAAAACTATTGAAAAGAACGACAAATCGTGAACGATTTCAAGCTGTTTGCATTACACCGCAAAACCTGGTAGAGTGCGCTCAGTTGGACAATTGGTCTTTCAGCCTTACGTTGTTGAGATGGGAAGCAATCTACGACTTCACGCATGCATTGATTCCCCTCAAACCTGTTTCTCAGCTGTTCAATCTGTTTGTTTGTTAAGCTTTATTTGACTTTTACTGTTCTTGGTCTAGTCTAGAAGTAGACTAAAACCAGATATTGAAATCCCCGAACTGTCCGCTGTCCTGGTTGCTGTTTGCGGCAGGTGCTGGTGAAATATTGGGATAAGAGAAAGTATCTCAACGGTATTCCTGGGACAGTTCACAAGAGGTGGAAGCCAGACAGTGACAACAACGACAACGAGTTTGGCCCTTCCATTGATCATCTTGACACTATTATACGGAGTGCTTCGTTTTGGTCCGCTGTTCAAATTGTGGAATGCCTGTCATTTGAGGCAGAATTTGTTGGCAGATGGGCTGAAGGATGTCAATGTTGTGGAATTGGTCATGGGAATGGGAAGACACAAAAAGCTGGTAAGCATTCAGGCAAAACCAACCAGAAACACGATTGCCCGTTTCGCGGCTGCCGTTCTGCAGAA